TCAGGAAATTTTGTCGTTGAAAAATCAAATATTCCATTGATTTTCTGGTCAAATGATCTGGAAATCAATAAAATACTTGATTTTTTAATTATTCTGTGAAAATTTAAAAAAAATAGGAAAATTTAGGAAAAAATCGAAAATTCATGTCATTTTGTTGCTGAATATTCATACTCCATTGAAAATTCAATCAAGTTGTGAAATTTCCATGTCATTCCCACTGAAAACTCATGAATTTCTGTGAATTCCACTTAAAAATTGAAATTTCATAACCATTTTTTCCCTAAATCCTATTCATTATCACTCTGATGTGATTTACTATAATATTTTCCATGAATCTTCCATGAAATTTCAACAAATTTGTCACTATGAATAATTACTCCAATTTTTCGTATCATTTTTCTGTAACTGAGAGTGATTTTTCCCGAAATCGTTTGGTAAAAATTTACTTCCGTCAGTTCCCATAACCTGCAGGTCGGTACAAGACAAGAAAAATGTCCTACCGATGTGAGAACTTTTATTAAACAGGAGGATAATTTTCCCATCCGTAAATGTGTTTTTTTACCGAGAAAATCGTAAGATATTCACTACAAATGCGTATTTCTTCACTGAATTACATTTCGCTCCACGGTTACCATTCGTATAGCAAAATTTGTCACGATTTTCTAGGTAATTTTTATCCAACTTTACTCTCCGTGTACTCTCACTGAATATCACACGCGCGAAGCCTCAATAATTGCGGATAAGTTTCTGAAAAACAGTGACATGCCCGTGAACATCAAAACTATTTTTTCTCCATGCACAAAAGATTTCCACGTTTTTTTTTTTTTTTTCAAACCAGAACGATCTCTCTACCACCAAGTCTCAGACCTATTTGTAAATACTAAGAATATAGGAAATTGATAGGAAGACTTTCATCCCCAGTACTTTCAGGTGAGCCGTCTGCTACGTGCACATCAAGACTGAATTCCAAGCGCGTAACTACAATGGGAAGTGAAAGGAAATAAGAGTAAAAGGAAGAAGTAGGGGGTGCGACCACTGTGACCCGTCGGGCTCTGTTGTATTTCCACGAGTAATTTTCCGCCGGGTTGTCGCGGCGAATGTTTATTCATAAGTCGCTGGAATGCACCACAGTGCACGATTGTCCAGCGGCGTGCCCGACGGGTTGACCCTCTTTTCGTTTGTTTTTCCTCCTTTGCTCCTTCTTTTATTTCTTCCTCTTCAGCCCCGTTAATCTCACGGTAATGAACGAAAAAAAAGAACACTGTTCCATGCTATCGATAATCAAAGAGCGCAACGACTACAGGGAATCTTGCTCTTGGGAGATTTTCTTACTTGCCCTTGATCCCCATTTATTCATTATCACTGACATCTGATAATCTTCTTGGTCGCCAATAATAAATTCGAGGTATTCTGACCGCCCATTAAAGAGATAAAATATTCTTTACACCTCTCCTTATTGGCTACTTGAAGGAAATTGTCTTTGAAGACAATTACATGGAAAATATTCCCGGTTCTAGAACATTTACTGACATTTTTGTTCTTAAAAAAATTGTAAAATGTAAATGTTACTCTGCCATTATATCGTTTGAAAGATTGCATGCTTGCACGCACCAGATGTGTAAAATTTGATGGGAGAAAGTCAAGTATCGCTGCACGTCAAACGCACGTGTGTCCTGCTACTTTGTAAAGCCGGAGTTAACTCGTAAATGCAGATCGACTCTTGGGCATGTCTGCACCAAGGACTCTGGTGCAAGCTTCAAAGTGCTATACTTAATAACAGTTACTGAAGCATAAAAATCTATTTCCAACCAAATAAAGATGAACTATATCACCTGATCAGGGACTGAAATAGACGAGTATTTGTGTGTATCGCAGTAAAATTTCAACTCGTCTTCTCTTACGTCAAAACAGTCATTGAAAAAACGGAGACATGATTTACAATCTTATGCACACACACGTGCACTTACCTTCTGCGTCAGCCATTTTCACGTCCCGTCAATATTTTACTACTACTGTCAATATATAACACTCTTCACAGCTTTGCCAATATATGGATTTTCGAGTTAATTTATTCTCAGCTATAAAAACAGTGCGCACAGCTTTCAAGTATACCTCGTTCGGGGAGAGACATCCCCTGCGCGTTGTACACGGACAAGCATCAGACTAGAAACTGCGATACGGCGTCCGACGAGAGCTTACCCTGAACTTATACCGTTACGGTGATAACGCATGCGCAAGTTTTGAGCGCCGAAACAAGTTCTTCATTATTCGTGGACAAGCTACTCTCCTGTTGAGTATGTCTTTTTCGTACATTGTTGAAAGTAGTAATTAATAGATAACCAGCGGCTCTCGCAGTTCTGTAAGCCATGATAAATAGTTCATATGTCATTTGCTACGATATTGGCTATGAAAAGCGAGATAGGTGACAAGTAAAGATTATTCTCGGTGATGACGAGAACCGGCCAATGCAACGTAATTGAAATGATTGAAATTGAAGTAATTATTAAGATGGATAATAATCTCAAAATGGGCACTCGAATAATAACGCGAAAGGGTCCTGCGTTGTCCTGCGCCGGCGTCGGGATTCAACGGAGGTGTGGGAGGGTAGTAGGGGGTGCACGGGGGTAAGTCAGTCAGGCCGTAGCGCGCGCTCAGAAAAGTACCCGTGCGGGAGCTTACAATAACGCCGGTGACTTGTAACTCTGTGCTCTCCGTTCTCACCCCTTTGTTAACAAAATTTATATACACAATAGAAATACAACACGAAGAAATCCAATTTCTATTACTAAATTGTTAGAGCAATCGTTGTTATTTGTTGTCGTTCTTCGGCCTGAATTTGGAAAAATTGAATATTATTTTGGGGAATCAGTTGCTTCGACATTTTGGAGAGAGATTATCATGTTAGTTGAGATGAAGTGAGTGCCGCTGATGGTGTTTGGTGATTGCGTATGGAAAACGAACGTAGAGCATGTTAAGTCGAATCAGAAATTGAATTTCTGCATGGAATAACAGAAAGTTGTAATTCAAGAGTAATGAAGAACCAGTTTGGTTATGAACTAAGAAGTTGTGAAAACGGAAATTGTGGAATTCGGCTCTCGTGAACAGTAATTACAGAGAACAAGGCCAAGAATTGAACCTGAAATAATTTTGACAATGACATACAGAGGATCGAGAGAATGGTTGAGAACTCATCGAGATTATGAAGAAATGAATAGGTTTATTTGAGCCATGAGTGACCATATCGAGGGACAGAGTTATGACAAAATCAGCGAAATTGTTTAGTGTGGTCTCCTTTAAATTGCGTTCAACATGTGTCATCCGATACAATTTAATGTAATTGAAATCTAGGAAAGATATGTCAATGACGTATGCATTTCTGTCTTTTGTAAATTGTGAGATGGGAGAGAAAAGAAAAAAATGACATGAGAAACACAGAAAGAAACGAGGAGCAAATCTTTTTCCAATTGCGATAGAAGCTCAAGAAGTTTCAAGACGCCACTTGACACGCCTTTATCAACTTCAAAGCAAAGTTATATAAAAAGGTGATTCTTCCTCGACAATTGGACACGCTATCATTATCAGATTGAAAATTCTACGTAAAGCTAAGGGATGAACACACATATAGTTCATAAAGGAGATAATCTTAAGGTTTTCATGCTCAAAAAAGTGGAAACTTACATATTTTGTCCATCGATAGTAAAGCCCATAAGAAATATTAAGCCCTCACCAACATGTCAATACAGCTTTCCTACAAAGACTTGCGAAATGGAGTATATTACAGTAAAAAAGCTCAGTGAAAGACCTCTTGACTCACAATTTTCGTGACTTTGTGAAGTTGCTGCAGGAAAGAAAACCTCGTTGGGTCAAAGTTCTGCTATTCTCTCTCAGCATCAGGAGGTGTTGACCATTAACAGCCTTCAACGGACTTGATGGAAAGAAGAACATGTAGTGCGGAAAAAAAATTACCGGGAAAAAAGCAGAATTGAGTGAGGAATTTACTTAGCAAGTGGAAAATGACACTCCATAATGTTCAAACTCTGAGAACCAATGTGACAAATTGTTCATAAATCCTGCACCTTCAATCATACAACGTGAGATTCAAAAAGTAATGCTACGGAAGACAAATTTAGTTTAAAAAATAGAAACATCGGTGCAGAAAGAAAACCTCGTATTTGACGGATAATCAAGTGATTAGAAAAATTTTACACAGACACGAAAAATATGGGATGGTCATGGAATCACAGAAAGAAAGCTGAGTCGTGATAGTATCAGAGTTAATACGGTGATGTTCATTCTACAGCTGGAATGCAACACTGTCGAGTGGAGTGCACAGGGCAACAACAAAAATAAACTATTAGCATCCAGGGGCTTCAAACAGTGCGGCCGTTTTTTTAATGTCCGGACGTGCATGACAATGTTCCATAAGTACTGAAATCATTGTGACGCTTTGGGGCAATCGAGTGTAATCATCGGAAAATGAGAAAGTTTCGTGAATGGACACTCAACGATGAAGAAATTCATCAATGACAAATATCAATACCTACAAATTACAATAATTAGCGTGTAAATATTTGGGGCTGAAGTAAACGTGCAGATAAAACGATTGAAGTTTTACGTTTGTGTACATTCAATTATCCGACTATCAGAATATTTTGCAACGACTCGGGATATCTACGAAAATCCGTAGAATCGTACAAACTGCTTGTGTGAGCGGAGTTGGACTTTATTATCAGTGTTTCCTTCCATGAAAAATTCGATTATATTAAGAACAGTCAGCCGTGCAACTTTTACAATAAACTTTATTTTTTTTACTATTGATCGTTGAAATTGCTTAGTTCTTTCATATCAGTTATATATTTAGTGGTAAAAAAAACATCTTTAATCATCATCAACTAATAACAGGAGTAGCTGGATAAACACCTCTTCCACAGGAGATTAGCATCAGTAATGATTGAAGAGTGGTATGGTTATTGACACTGGTGAATTTGTTTTTTCCTCAGGTGCGGTAATACCACGAGGAAAAATTTGGTGTTAATTTGTGGAGTGGGGCGAGCGTCAGGACAGGAAAGAGAGTGGTCAATATGACTCCTATTTTCCTCGTCCTGTTGGTGGCGATCAACCCAATAATCGCGCAGAATCATGGTGAGTAAATAAATATATTGCAAGAAAGTTCGAATTGACTCTGTGAATCCTGGAGGAAACCAGGGTTTCCCTTGATCCTGTGTGGACACGACCGCGGGTGTTTGTGGTGAAACTTAGGAGAATTTGGAACACTCCATGTTGTGGCTCGAGTGACAGAACTTGAATAGACTGTACACCATAGTGGTTAATGAGAGCCGCTGCACACAAGGGAATATCAATGCATTATGTTTGAAATGATTATTCTCAGTTTTGATACTTTCAGTTCTCTTTTATTACTCCAAAAGAAAAATTTATCCAGGACAGAAGAGATGAGTTTGTGAGCTTTATAAGTATAGGGGGTTCGTGGAGTCATCATTATCACCCGGTCACGTCGGTTTGCTCCCATAGATTCCTAAGTATCAAACTTTGAGAAGATCAAAAGATTTTGAAGATCTTTGTTGGGATATAGGAAAAAAGTCACGTAGGAGAGTTTGGAAATCTTTGGACAGTGTACTTTTGTGTCTTCTCAGATTATAGTTACATGTCTCTTATTATTATCTTCGAACAGTTCAAGATAGAATAAAAATTGAGGCTGAAGTTGTACCGATTCTGTTGCAGAAGAAAGAATTACTATTCTGTATTATCCCCGGGGTATCTACTCGGTCAACCTTAGATGGTTTTGATATCCAAGTACTTTAGCTGTTTTGTCTCGAGTGAAATGCTTTTATACTTTTGTCGTTGAACATGAGAGCTTTCATTTGACTCCAATTTGATCCTAAGCTTCCGGACATTTTACAATGATTTTATTATTTAAACTTATTAAAAATAGTTACAAAATTGCAATTTTGGAAAATTACGAGCGCATCCCGTAAATAATTTTCATATTCAGAATTTCATCAGAAATTGATTTCATGCTTAAAAAAATAAAGTTTCCGAAAGTCTAAACAATTTCGGTTATTTATTTGTAAACAACAAATGTTTTAAAAAATAATAATTTTGTGCAAAATGTCATTTGAATGACACTGAATATTCATGATTTTTTTTATGATTGAAAGTGGTAGATTCTATAGTGCGGTTGAACCAAACTGTAAAAGATACTTGGATATCCTTAAGGTTTAAATTACATGGAAAGCGTAATGCTGTCTGCTATATGAGGCAAATAATTAAATACTTATTAATGTACAAATTTGATTTAATTTGATTTGATTCAATGATTTGTGCATTAATAATTGTTTCATTATTTCTCTCATACAGAGGTCCGGAAAGTCGATGGATAGCATATATAGCACCCTGCTTTCCATGCAATTTATACTTTAAATACATCTAAGGTTGACCGAGTAGATAATGCGGGGATAAGACAGAATATGAATACACCAGTCGAAATAATTTCTTTCATTGTAAAGAATTACTAATTTGAAACCAAACACTGCAAAAACTAATGTTTGCGTTCAAGACGTTTTAGCAGACATTTTTCGGACTTCAAAAAAGGTCTGAATCAATCAAAGATGTCTTATTTTCAGACCCTTTCGTGGTGCCATACACATGCAGCTAAAATTTTCAAATCAATTTCATAAACTAGAGGAAGTTCACGATTCACTCTGTGGATTTCGATTTTACACAATTTTGGGAAAAAAGGCACGGAAATAAATCAAATTGTAAGACAGAAGATGTCTTTGAAAATGTCTGAATAACTTATAAATAAGACCGGAGTCTTCATTTTGTAAAAGGGCTAATAACGAAATTGCTAAGCAACTCATGCATACTTGTCTCACAATTTTATTACTAGAATTTTTATTAAATGAAGTCTCCGATCCCCCTCATAAATTCCAGACGTAAAAAATTCCTGCAAATGAACATCTGAAATTTTTTAAATGATGGAAATGTTTAGATTTTTTTCAGACACAAGTTATATTTGAAATTGTCAAACATTTTGCGAAATTCAGACATTTATGATGATTCAGACCTCTGTTTTCCGGTTGACATCTGAAATTCAGATGATCGATGAACACATTATTTTTGCAATAGAAACTCTGAACTCGTAGATTTAATAAGTTGAAATTATTGAATCCACGACATGTTATCATAATTTATGATGAAATAATGTATTTTGTTCGAATGAGATTTAATCAATACCAGCAGAGAGCGGTAGATGCTTATACCCTGCCAATAGTAAGTTTAAATCTCAACATTGCAGACGTTACCTCTATCAAATATTTCCAGTCGAATCTCCTCCAATTTTTCCAATGTCTTCCAGGCGGAAAGTAAAATCGATCGTTTCCCTAATATCATCAAACCCGCATACTTAAAAAGCTCATAACTTGTAACGAACAGACTATATTAATATCGTTATAATTAATTTATCAGAACTGAGATTGGTGAAGTATCTGAACTTGCCAAACGTGAGAGTTTGAACATGTGCACTAGTGAACTCTAAGACAAACTAGACATACTGACTAGTTTGACATTTTCAAGTCTCAGATAATTGATAAAGCTATTAATTAATTATAGAATTAGCCACTCGAAATGGAAAGGTACCCAATTATATAAATTTTACATTATTGTTAGATTATAAAGATGATTATATTGATACTTCATAGCTAAAGGAGATTCCAGAACATTTGGAAAAAAGGTAAGATCAATGAATGAGCGACAAATTTATTATAGAAACTGTAAAAAATATGACATAGGTACATGTGACTATCCGCATGGAAAGGATCCACTTTGGCGATATTGGAGTTGTGGACTCTCCGATACTATGGCGGGGTCCGTAAAAGTAAAGAATTGAATCAAACATTGTCTACACATTATTTGATCTGTCTCCATGGCAGAGGAAAAAAAGTTTCGATTTTCAGGAATCTGTCATCAATTATTAGTGATACTGGAGACTAACTAGCATGACCCTGATCGTCAATGATTTTTATGACTGAAATTACCTAATAAATTCCCAAAAATTAGAAATGTGTTCCTCAAAATCAGTAACATTTCTCAAAAAATGAGTGATAATGTCACAGATAATAATGTCACCAATAATTGGAAATTAATTGCTGAAAATCATGACATGTTTCTAAAGATGAGAGACATGTACTTGAAAATCAAGTCTTTTTTTCTCTGAACCCATCTGCACAATATCAAGATCTGCCTGTACAGAATGCCAATAGAAAGAATTGTTAATGGAGTTTTTTTTTGCATGGCTAACCTCAGGTTATTCAATGCGTTTTTCTCAGGTTCTTGTTCATTCAAACTAAAACAAGTGACAACTTCATTGTTGTATCCACTGGTTTTACCAACTAAAAAAGAACGAGAGAAACACAAAGGAAAATGCCACGCAAAGAAAAACGTCATAAAGTTGATTCTTATACATGCGCTTGAAAAGGACATCGATAGGTGCAGTACCCCTGGCGTGATAATGTAGAAATAATGCTCTAATTATATGTAGATGCCCCATTCAAACGTGTGTATAAGTACCAAATTTAAAAATGTTTTCATTTCCCCGCTGTACATGCAGTTTTTTTATTCGCGCACGGTTCGTAAGTTAATTAAATAATGTGTTAAATAATTCTCACGCAATTCTATTTTTATTTTCAAATACTTTTTGACCCCGCCACAATACCCGTGCTTGATCAGATTCTACAAATTTTGACTCTGAAAGGGCGTCGCTATGAAAAATCGGAAAATAATTCGCCATTGGATTAAGTGATAAGTCCCTCTAGAGGTACTGGGTGTACTCACCACTCCACCGTATTTTCTCTTGATTTTTATTCGTATATAAATGTACCTCGCGGCATTTATCCAACACAGTCATTTGTATCGAAGGTTGCTGAGTACTATTGGCCCAGAAGAATCGTCAGTTCTGCGCTAAGTGTAGATTTGGGCAGGGATTTTCATATTAATCATTGGTGTTTTTGTACTCACGTTCATACATTCCATTGAGTATTGAACATTATTCATTCCTCAAGCTAGAATATGGAGGATGGAGTCGTGCAATTCTCTAAAATATGTTCATCAGAAAACGGACTGCAAAGCTCTCTAGAAAAACAATTTTTCCCAGTTTTTGACAGTTCTCTAAGTGTTCAAATAGATTTTATGTTCAATTGAATCGCACAAATTCCAATGCTACACTCATAGAATGATTTAGTTGCTGTTAATGAGGCTTTTTGAGGTTAACTAGTTAAAATCGAAGGCCGAAAAAAACTTTCCTGGCGGATATGAGTTTGCACGACGACAGAAATTCAATCATCAGATACAGTCGGAATTATGAGTTGAGTGAGCTAGTTATTCTTTTTCATCACGCTGTGACGAAAAGTGAACTTTTCGACACGCTCCGCGTGCCTAAAAGTCCAATTTCCGCCATATTGTGATGAAAAATATTGTTCGTAACTCGTGAAAAAATGTTTTTTAGCTCATGGGATTATATCACTCGCCTTCGGCTCGTGATATAAACCTCCCACTCGCCAAAAAAACACTTTTTTGCACTCGTTACGAAATATACTATTTCTGGGCACGATTCAACCTTCCTCCTTCTATTGAAACAGAATTAAATCTACTCCGCAATATCAAAACCCGGAACATGGTTCTGGCAACGAAAAAATGGTCGCCACAGACGTTTATACGAGTCAATCATGTTATGGACATTAGAATGACGAAAGTGCCCACACGGACTGAAGTTTGTGCTACGGAGAATACGTGTTAGTCGTTGCGTTATTTTTCATATTTTTTGATGGATTTATGATTCATACTTAAAATCTCCGAATTGTTTGATCATTGCGTTCATAGTGCGTTTACTTGCCCCACATGCTCTTCAATTCGTATTTTCCCCTCTAATTTTTCAACTATAATTGAATTCCGATTTTATGAATTTTGGAGCCGTCGGACGCGAGAAACGTGGGTTGGATTGGGTTATGTGCCATTCCAATAATAACTTCTCCAAAATGCGAATTGATTGAATTGTTTTATTCAATAAACGAGGAAAGCTTCCACTTTACATGAATGCTGAATATGATTAGTGAGATATCTCTAATAAT